AAAACAGGGTTGGAGGACTTACTACCTAACTTAAGAGACTCATTTTAAGTCTATGATAATCAAGATCACATGATAACAGCATAAAGAAAAATAGACCAACTCTGTAGAGTCCAAGAATAGATACACATATACATTATCAATTGGCTTTAAAAAAGGTACAAAGATAATTTAGTGGAAAAACAATCTTTAACAGAGTGGAACAATTGGATAATAATCACAGGCAAAAATGAACTTCAGTTCATACATGGCACCATATACAAAAAGTAACTCCCAAGATCATGGACTTAAATACAAATCCTAAAATAAAAAAATTGTAGAAGAAATCATGGAAGAAAGTCTTTGTGATATTGGACTAGATCATAATTTCTTGGATATCAAAATCATGATTCAGAAAAGAAAATTTTGATAAACTTGACTTTGTTAAATTTAATGAATTTTATTCTTTGTAAGACAAAAGAAAGGAAAACTTTTGTGAGAAAATACCTAGCAAATCCCATACCTGATAAAGGACTTGTATCCAGTGTATATAAAGAACTCATCAAACTCAGCAATAAGAAAGCAAACAACCAGGTCTAAAAATGGATAACAGACTTGAAGAGACATTCTACCAAAAAAAGACATCAGTGGCAAGTAAGGTCATGAACAGATGTTCACATCATTTTGAGGGGAAAGCAAATTAAAACAGCAGTGGCATGCCACCATGCATATGTTGAAAGGACTACAACTAAAAAAGACTCTCTTACATGTTTGGCAGGTGTGTAGGTGAACCTGAACTTCGCTAGTGGGAATGCGAAATGCAGCCACTATGTCAAACATTGTGGTGGTTATATAAGCTACATTCCTACAGCATGATCCAGCTATTCCATGCCTCATATTTACTCACAAGAAATGAAAGCATATATCTGCCACAGACAGGTGCATGAGTGTTTATAATAGCTTTATTTGTAGCAGCCACCAATTGGGAACAGCCTAAGTGCCCATTTACATGTGGCTGCAGTCCAGTAAATATTGGGTCTGACCCATGCTAAAGCAAATCAGTGTTGAAAAAATCTCAAAATAATTGTACTGGAATGCAGAAGATAAAAATGACTACAGAATGCATGGGTCCACTTACATAAAATTTTAGAAAATGTTTTTTAAAGTGTAAAATCAATGGCTGACTGGGGATAGGGGTGGGAGGAGAGTGGCATAAGGTATAGAAAAGTGGTGCTGGTGTTACTGGTGTGTTTTTATGCCTGCGCTTATCAAATTATATACTGTATATTAGGCCATTCGATGTTGTTACAACAAAATACCGTTGCTGGTACTTCATAAAGTAAAGAAGCATTTGGCTCACAGTTCTTGAGGTCCAAGATCATGGTTCTCCTGATCAGCCCCACCCTCAACACTGCTGCATCACCACAGAGAAGCTGAAAGAGGACCAGCTGTGTGCAGAGAGGGCCCAGTTATGGGGTGGGCACGCTCGCTCGCACGCTCGCTCTCTCTCTCTCTCTTTAAATACTTATTTGTTTTTTAGTTGTAGCTGGACACAATACCTTTATTTATTTATTTTTATGTGGTGCTGAGGATCGAGCCTCGGGACTTGCATGTGCTAGGTAGGCGCTCTACTGCTGAGCCACAACCCCAGCCCAAGGGTGGGCTGTCTTTATAACAGCTGCCCTCAAGAAATTTCTTACATGAGTGCATCCTGTGAGATGAGCATTCATCCTGTCTCCAGGGCAGACCCTCTCCTCCTAGCCTCTACCCCTTGAAGGTTCTGCCGCCTCAACTTGGCCACACTGGAGACCAAGTTTGCTGCACATGAGCCTTCAGGGCAGGACACAAACTGTAAGCCCTAGGTGCACTTGTGTAGTTTATTTTATGTTAGTTATAGCTAAATAAAGTTGAGAAAATTAGTCTTTCATTTTTTGCATACATTGTGCTTTGATTTTGCAATGATAATTGAGAGTTAATTCTGAGATCATCCCCTTAGTTTGGTTTGTGAGCTTTTCCTAGAGGGTGATTCCTTGTTAGTGGTTAGCTGTATAGGATGTATCTTCCAAGTGATTCCCTGTAACTGATTCTTTGGAACTGGAGTGGACACATGGGAATCAAAAATGAGGAAGAGAAGTGGTGTGTATCTCTTGGAACTTAGATCTAGAGACATATAGTGATAAAAGTGTAGACATCTGTAAAGAATTGGGAGTTATAGGAAATGATGGAATTTATTTTGCCTAAAATCATGTCAGCAAATCAGATAGTGGAGCAGCTTTCTCTCTGCTCTGGGCAGGGCACCTTTTTGATGAACTGTGAATTGAGGACCTGGCTCGAGAGGAGACATCAGTCAGTGCCTGGCACATCCAGCACAGGGCTGCTGTTAGGTTGTAACAGGTGATGGGTTATTTTCTTCTATAGTTTTCTGAAAGGACTGTGTGACATACAATTGGATTAAAGCTATCTCATGTAAATTGAATATAATCTTTGACATGAAGATGTTTTATCTTTTACAACAATGTTACAATGATTTAAAACCAGCCTTTGTGTTTTGTACCATGACTGAATAAAGCAACACATTAACAATCACAGTTCTCCAGCCTACAAAAGAATACCCACTTTGTATGTAATAGTTCACATAATACTAATTATCACCTTATGTATTTGGAATAACTTATTTAGAAACCCTGAAGAAGATAAAATGCTGTTGAGCAGTTAAAATAGAGGTCAGAGACCATGCTCTAAAGTTTATGAACTGGACCTGGAGGGCACAGTTTGGAATCAGGTCCATTTATTCTTACTTTAGATAAAGTGCTAATGAAGTTTACCTCTTTGTATAAGGGAGGGGGAAAATGTGGATGGTCAAATGCAGATTGTTAGTAAGAGCAGTGGATGTAGCTGGCAGAATGGGCGGTGAACCGCAAGCCTGGGTACTCTGAGGGAGAGCAGTTGGCAGAGGAGCTGATAGTGCTACATACTAGTAGCCTCTGTGAAGTCACGGGTAACAAAAGCATTAAGTCACTAAGTGCTCATTTTGTGACAGACATTGTGCTGGTTCTCGTACATGCATTATTTCATCTGATAATTAACAGCTACAGACGTGGCATTATGCCTTGTTTTATAGATGAAGAACCTGTGCCTCAGCAAGGTTGTCACATGAAGTGCAGACAGGACGTGGGCCAAGTCTTTGAAGAGAGTGTGTGTGTGTGTAGCCCTTGTCTGGTTATTGACACAATAAAATGATTGGCTCTTATTTTTGAAACAGTGTTTTGCTGTGTTGCCTAGGCCAGTCTTGAACTTGTGAGCCTAAGGAGCTGGCACTACAGGTTGCACCATTATGCCCAGCTTAGCTTAAAAATTTATTTTTATTTTTATTTTATTTTATTTTTTTTAGAGAGAGAGAGGGGAGAGAGAGAATATTTTTAAATATTTATTTCTTTTCGGCGGACACAACATCTTTCTTTGCATGTGGTGCTGAGAATCGAACCCGGGCCGCACGAATGCCAGGCGAGCGCGCTACCACTTGAGCCACATCCCCAGCCCCCCAATTTTTTTTTAAAGGATCAGAATGTATAGAACAATTCTAATTTAAAAAGTTCAAATTAGTTTTTCCACTAAAAGATATTAAGCCATTGCTTTCTAAGAATTTTCGTAAAACATTTTATTTCTTACAAAGATAAATGGGTATTATAAATTCATAAAAATCTGTACAGACTTTTGGATAGGAAATTATAAATTGCTTTTATTGTGTTACTTTATGTAGAAAAAAAGTGAATCAATCTAGATAAGCTGTGCAAGTGCTAAGTTAATTATTGTCTTCCACACTATTCCAGCTAAAGAGCAGAGCAATTCTAGAGCATGCACACTAATTTCATACTGGGTGGCTGGGGAACGGCGTGCTGAGGCTCACCCTCTTCCCTGGAGCATGTGTGCAGCCTTGTGAGCAGAGGTGCTGGCTTATCATTGTGCCTCAGTGCTGTGACCACTGCCGTGAGTGGAGCGGAAAGAACGCAGGCTCTTGTTTCTCTAAGCCTCAGATTACAGCTGCATGTGGTGCACTGGATTTACACTGAAATGATAATTTGCATAATTTCTATCTTTGCTTTGATTTTACAAACTTTTGTAAGGGTGATAGCCATTATTTTAAGACTCAATTTAAAATTCTAGTGTTTTATCTATTAAAAAAAATAGAAGATACTGAGCCACTCTGCCAATGACATACCTAAAGGTCTTTCTAAATCTATTCTTATTTTAGTTGCTGCCTTTTGTTGTGACATTATAAAGGACTGCAGAATGTCCCCAAAAGGGCAACCACCACATGAGCTTGCTGCTTCTGTGACCTCTTTTTCCCCACTTGGAGTCGTTCACTGGCACTTCTGTGATGTAGTGGTTCTAAAGTCCCGGGCAGAGAGTCAGCTCTGCCAGTTGCAGGCTCTGTAGCCTTGGCAAATGAGGTGGCCACCCCTGTCCACTTTGAGTAGCAGTGCTGCTGGCCTCAGGGACTGCTGTGAAGAGCAGACGAACGTGTAGAAGGTCTGCAAATCACTTAGAATGGTGCGTGGCACATCAGCCTCAGTCAATGCTAGTTATTATTTTCGGGGTTTTATGAGGCTTAAATTAAATGGGATTATACATGTAAAATGATTAGCAGAGTGTCTGGCATTTATTAAGTGCTCAGTAGATGCTAGTGGCTCTAATTTAAATATTCTGGTGCCTACATGTCTATAGACGTGTGCCTTTGGATCTCTGCATGTCATATTTTTAGTTAATTTATTTTAGGGCACTAGAAAAAAGAAACTAGTTTCTATATTGGCCTTTCTCAGTAGGTACAAGTTACAAAGTTAAAGTTTAACAAATATGCAATTACTTTCTGATTTCTAAGTTTAAATTATTTGTTATTTCAAGTTTATATTTACTTTTAGTATTAAAAGGTATACATGTTGATTAACATCACCATTTAGTGAAATTTCAAAAGGCCTGTCAATATCTAACCTGAGTTTCCTCTTCTTTTGTTATCTTCTTTACAGGTTTGTGGAATCTTGCGTCTCTCTTTTCCAACCTTTGTTTATTTGTGTTGATGCCCTTTGCATTTTTCTTTCTGGAATCAGAAGGATTTGCTGGCCTGAAAAAGGTAAGTAAATTGAATTTTGGAATTAAGAAGTAAATGTCGGGCTGGGATTGTGGCTCAGCGGTAGAACGCTTGCCTCAAGAGTGCGAGACCCTGGGTTCGATCCTCAGCACCACATAAAAAAATAAACAAACAAAATAAAGGTATTGTGTACAACTAAAAAATAAACATTAAAAAAAGAAGTAAATGTCATTTATGTTGAACTGAAGATCAAACAAGCATTTGAATAGAATATAAAAAGTTTAATAAATAATATTAAAACCACATTTTAGCAATAATAGTAATATTGCACATTGAATCATTTTGTATGTTTATGGGGAAAGTTCTCCATCAATCCTGTATATGTTTGTGCTGTGCATTACTCTAGTGGAGTATTCCTTTGGAATAGATAAACCTATAGGGTTAGTGTTACTGTGTTACTGCTTTCTTAGGTAATCTCATTCAATTTTAGAGCTTGATATGAGATTCTAAAAATCCTAAAATACATCTTGATGTAAAAGTTATCTCACATACAATATTTTCAGGGTAGTAGCACATTATAAAATCGGATATGCTTTATTAGGTAGTCAAATTCCCAGGATACCAAGAGTAACTAATCTTAGGTAAATGTGGAAGGCTTAGAAGTGGGCAAACTGGGAAATGTCTCAGGAACTTCTTAAACTAATCAAGACTTTAAAAGAGGCAGTACTTTAGTCTATCCTTGAAGATAGTATTTTCCAAATTTTTTTTTATTTATTCTTTTTAGTTATATATAACAGCAGAATGTATTTTGACATTCCCATTCTTTTTTAAATTTAATTTTATTTTTTTAAATTTCCCCTTCTTGTGGTTGTGCATGGTGTGGAGTTACACTGGTGATGTATTCATATATGAGTACAGGAAAGTGATGTCTGATTCATTCTACTGTCTTTCCTATTCCTGTCCCCCCTCCCTTCCCTTAATTCCCCTTTGTCTAATCCAATAAACTTCTTTCTCTGCTCCCACCTTATTATGTGGTTAGCATCTGTACATCAGAGAGAACATTCAGCTTTTGTTTTTTTGGGGATTGGCTTATTTCACTTATCATGGTAGTCTCCAGTTCCATCCATTTACCGGCAAATACCATAATTTCATTCCTTATGGCTGAGTAATATTTCATTGTGTTTATATACCACATTTCTTTGAATACAGTATTTTAAAGAAAAAGAAACTAGGTTCTATTTATAACCTATGCAGTTCTTTGTCATAAATTTTTGGAATATAATGTAAATGCAAAGATTTAAGTACATTAATACCTTTTAAATGATTTTTAAACTTGCAAAATGAGACTAGTGTTACAGTTTAGCATGTTTTGCCTTTCTGACTTTTAGTTCCATTCAGTATGTTGTGGTGGCATACAGAATGAAATGTGCCTGTATATCTTATTATTGAATGATAGTATAATGCTAATTCAGAAAATTTGGCTTGGGAAATTGTAAACTGCATGTGAATTGTTATTACTTTTCATCTTGTATAACTCTGTGTGGGATCATAGAGGTGAAATTATTTAACCATTTGATAGCTCTTCTGACTTTAAACCTTAAATAACCATACATTTTAAAGATGCAGTGCATCACTGGGGTGATGATCACAGTGCTGTTCCCATGGACTCACGGGAACAGCTGTCTGGCTGTTATCCCATAGGTGAACGTGTTGCAGCTAGCTGAAAAGGAACAGCTAGCTTCTTATTTAATGAAGGTTCCGAGATAAGAATGAATGAAGGAATGTGTTTGGCAGTCAAGCCTCACATTGAGAAAACTGGCTTTTGTATGTTGGACATTTTTTAATCCTGTTATATTATTAAGATTGGCAATTAAATTTATATACTGTTAAGAATTGTATTCTTTCAACTTAGAAAGCTGTTTGCTGGTTTATATTTTCTTGAAGAAATAATACAAAATATTATTGCTGAAAGGGATTTAGTTCAAACTCTTCTTCTATAAGGAGAAAACTGATATTAAATTGTATCAAATTGTCTATGAGCCATCCATGTAAAATAGCACAATTAGAACAGAATATCTAGGGATGTCTGACCTTCCCCAGGTCGGTGTTCTTCACAGTCAGCACTCTGGAGAGCACAAGAAAAGCCAGTAGGAAGACGAGGTGGCCGAGGACAGAACATGAATGTGAAACACTGTCAGAAGAGAGGCGCAAGGAAGAGTTCTGACACTGTCAGCTAGTGTGAGGAAAATGGGGTGACCATCTGGAAGCCAAGGGACACAGAGTTCCAGGAGATGCTTACCACCAAAGTGAAACTAAAAAGAATGAACAGAAGAAAAGGGGCATTGGAGACTATTGAAACGGTGGGCTTCTGTAGCATCTTGAAGTTTGGAGGTAGAGCTTTTGATGGACATTTATTCCAAGAGTTTTATGAAGTAGTCTACTACTAGTTAGTGGTTATTGAAGGCATTAGCAATCCTCTAACTACTAGTTAGTATTATAGGAAATTTCTAGGGACACAAAGAAATGGGTCTCCTGCTTCCAAGGAAACATGGAGAACTTACAGTTGCAAACCAGATGAACTTATTACAGTTTGATGAACTTATTCATGAGGTGCTAAGGAAGAGGCTGAAAGAAATGGTTATCTTGTTCTGCTGTGCACTAGGGGCAGGCTGTGAGGAGGAGGCCAGCTGGGATTGAGCTGGGATCTGATCCACCAGCAGTATTTGCTAGAGTGTGATGTTCCAGGCTTGAGCCATTGCCTGGAACTCTAATGGAATTGAGGGAAATGGTTGGTACCTAGATGTGAACCATGAACAGTCAAGATGCACAAGTAGCCCTCAGGGTCAGGTTCTGGAAGCACTGATCCTCTGCCAGGCAGTTTGGATTCTGTGCTGTAGACAACAGCGAACTGGCGTTTTCCCATGAGGATTTTTGCATCTATCATTTCATTTAAGTGAATCACACATTTTAAAGTTTCCGCATATGTCACAAAGGAAAGGAGCATCAGGGAGCACATGGGCCAGGGAGTGCTTGGCACTGAGTTTTGTAGAAATATCATATGCATCCAGCTCTGCTCAATAGAACATTTTGGTCTGTGTCACAAAAACTGCCTGTTGGTGTTTGCTTTATGCATGAAAGCTCTGCCTCTTCCTGATACTGCCTCTTTGCAGTGTTCCCCAATGCAAGAAACAACTGGAACTGCTCAGTGTTAAATATGTCCGTGTTTGGTGTTGTAGAACTATCTACCTGGTGTTCTTTATGAAATTCTAATTGTTAGCTAGGTAATTTTTCAAAATAGCATGTGACGTGGACAGACCATTCCACCCTTCTTGTGAACTGACTATCTAGAAAGGGGACTTGGCTACCTCTAAGTGCCCAGCCAGTCAGGGAAGGGACTCGGCTCTGTGTGGTAAACCAGTCAGCCAGGGAAGTAACATGATTGCATTTGATGAAGCAGATCAGCAACACACTGTAGGCTTTAAAAAAAACTCTGTCGTTACTTTTCTCCTGTGCCCCTTTATAGACTTAAGATCAAAAGGGAGAATCAGCTGAACAAGGATCCAAGAGATAGAGGTATTTTACGACCACATTTGTACACAGTTGTATAGTTCTTCCCTTTGAATTTTTTTCCTTTTTTTACTCCTAGTTTCTCTATTCATGATTAAAAGAACATTCTTTCTCCAAAACACAAATTTGACTGTGTTCATCTGTTAAAACCCTTCAAGGGCCTCCAGTGTACTTCATGACCTCATATGGGACTGAAGTGTTGAATGTTTGTGTGATACAGTTGTGATTATCAGACAGGTAATTCCCAGACCCACTGAAGGATTTAAAAAGGGGGCAGTTAGAGCCCTGATGATTATCACTGATCCAACTTGGGAAGATTGGAATGAATAGGTGCTATGGTGACCAATTTAAACGTTTTGTTTCTCATACTAGTAAAGAGGGGTAGTAAGGGGGTTGCGGCCTGAAGGCAGAGGACTGTCAAGTGGGGAGTCTGAACGTATGGGCATGCCCAAGGGCAGGGGCCAGGGAAGAAAGAGGGAGGGCACAAAGGTAAGGAAGTGGGCTTTAGAGACAGCTGCCTGGGCATGTTACTTCATCTGAATCTCAGGTGTTCTTTCTGTAAGATGGCTACAATAAAGATACTTACCTTACTGTATTATTTTCATGATTATATAAGACAAGATTGTTCATGTAGAGCATAGAGCCCAGGACTGCATTTAAAGTAATTGTAAATGTTAACTATTATTAAACCACCACTGTCTTCATGGTAGTCTGTAAATACACTCAAGCAATAAATATTGTTATTTATTCTTTACTTATTAATATTACTTATAATATTAATGTTATTTGGGATTCAGAAAGAAACCAAATACAGTAGAGTCAGCTGTTAATTATTCACATGTTATTATCATGAGCAGTTCTAAAATTCCAAATTGTTTTTCACATTTTGAAATAGCATTGACTAAAGCAGAATAAATCAGTTTTAGCGTTAAAGGTAGTATACTTCGGAAAAAAAGCCTTCTTGAAGCTACAGTACATTTTAGACCCTAGTAGAAATGTTTTAGAAAGCTTTAAACTTAGGTGATCAGGTCATGCTATTTTAAAATGCTCTTTTTTTTTTTTTAAGTTTTGAAACCAATTACTTGAAAGTTGCAGGGGTTATTAGCATTTTAAGTCTCAGTGTGTGTGTTGAAATGCTAGGTGTCTTTCTGCAGCATAGAATTATTTGGTGTTTCCTTGTGCAGCTCTGGATGTTGCTCCAGATGCTCTTGGCAGGCACTGTGGCTGTATTAGAACTACAAACTTTGCTGCTTTATTGATGTTAATGTTATTATCATCGGCCACAGTCACAAAGTGTTTGAATTGTCTAATAAGTATTCATATATGTTCCTAAAAGGTGTTTATCATTGGTTACCTTTGACATACTCATTTCTGATTGGTACTGAAGAAGGTAGAACATTTCTAATGGCAGATGCTGCCCAATAATTTGAGTCCTGATGAACTTGTATTATGGTTAAGTTAAATTTCCTTTTTTT